GTGGTTGTAACAATTGACTCAACCACGGCAGTTGCCTATGAGGCTGGTGCAGGACCAGATGGGGTTTCAGTCTGTTCACACAGGCATCAAGTGTGGGGACCTTCTCGGGGCACCTACAACGGCTGTAAACACATGCAAACACTCGGGCTGCATCTCTATGAGTAAACTGTAGGCAGAACTGCAAACTATCAACTTAAAACCCCAAAAGAGAAAGGGGTCCAGTACATGCCCTGAGTGCAAAGGTGCATTCTAGAAACTTCCACGAGCTGTGAACTCTGCAGGCAGTACAGGCAGGGACCCCCGCACCTGTCCGTGGAACGTCCACTCCCAGAGCCCCCACCCCCACCCCACGGGGCAGGCTCACTTCAGAAGGGCCAGGAAGGCGGCGGGCTCCACGTCGGGCAGCTCGATCTCCGTGGACGTGGTAGCCATCCCCCCGTTGAACATGGCATCGAAGACGGCACTGCCCACGGCCAGCACGAACCTAGAGTGTCAGAAAAGTGATCCGTTAAGCCTGGCTCTGTGCCTGCCTGGGAGAGGCCCCCGGCTCCTCGCTCTGCACCCACTCAGGTTGGGGCGAGGGGCTCCCAGGGCTGGTGAGGTGTGCCCAACGAGGGTGCACAGGCCGCATGTGGGACCTCCCCTTCCAGAGCCCCAGGGAGCCCGCAGCAGTGACATCTCCCGGGGGCCAGGCAGGAGCTGCCCAGAGCGTCGGGGAGGTAACGGATCCCGGGAGGAGGGCTTGCACGAGAAGGCGGTGCAGATGCACCAGCAGAAAGAGAAGGGGAAGCAGAAACGAGTTCTCTAAGGTCACAAAGCAAACTCCGCCTCCGTTCATCCCCTCCTCACTGGTGCGTCCACCATCTATCCGGCCACCCACCTGCCACTACGAGTCATCGCCCACCCACCTACTCCCCATCCACCCATTCACCAGCCAGCCCTCCACCAATCCCTTCTCACACACCTATCCTTCCAAAGGAGTTAGCTGGACCCCAAACCCAGTGAGAATGTCCTTCCAGGGTCAGAAAAGGGCATCTGAGCACAGAGGACACATGTGGAGTGGAGGCAGAGGGCTCAGGTGGCCACCTGCCCAGGAATTCAGGGCAGCCCACAGAGGAGACAAGGAAGGGTCCTTTCCTGATCTTCACAGGGAGCATGCCCTGCCCATCTGCTGACCGTGGACCTGGGCCACCTAACAGTGAGAACAGACTCCCGCTGTTCTAAGCATCTCCGATTTGGTCCTCAGTCACACAGCTTCAGCACATCAAAGTGCCAAGCTCTTTCGCATCCCCCGTCATGCATTCAAAAGCCCACCACGGGGGCGAGGCTGTGTCTCCAGGTGACGCAGGGCCTCCTACGCTCCGTTCCATAAATAACCACCTCCGGGCTCCTGGTCCGCCTGTTCCCTGTCTCCTCCCGCACAGAGCGGCTTTTGCAGACTCAGAAGCAAGGCTCCGAGACTGAGGGCAGACCGTGTGCTGAGAGGGCCACCTTCCTGTGCTCAGCATGGGGCCTCAGGGGCCTGGGAGATCACCCACGAAGGACACTGCCTCATCTCAGTCCCAAGGAGGGCCACACCATCTCAGTTCCAGGGGGACGTCGCCTGCCTCCCTCCAGAGACACGACCAAAACCCCACAGGAGAACCTCTAACCGACGTGGGAATGTCCTAACGCCTTCTACAGGGACACCGCCTCCCTCCCATGGAGAGAAACAACCTCCCATCCATACAGACACGCAACCTCACCTGCCGAGAGACACCCAGAGACCCTCCCATGGAGACACCATCATACACCCCCACAGACACCACCTCACACCCCAGACACCACCTCACACCCCAGACACCACCT